CTCCCTCTCCTTCCTTCCTTCTCCCTCTCCTTCCTTCTTCCTCTGCTTCTTTCCTTCCTCTCCTTCCTTCCCTCCTTCGTTCCTTCTCCATCTCCTTTCTTCCTTCCCTCCTCCCCTCTTTCCTTCCTTCTTCCTCTCCTTCCTCCCTCCCTTCCTTCTTTTCTCTTTCCGTTACCCTCCCTTTCTAAAATAGAGATCTTTTCTTTCTTTCTTTCACCCGGTTTACCATCTTGTAGGTTATAATGCAGTTCTGTGGATTGTGGTTCTTAAAACCGACTGAGAAACTGATGAGATTCTGTGTCCTTTCCTCTCCCCTCCCCGGTTCCCATGACAGAGAAGGAGAAGAGGGACAAGGCCATCTTGGAAGGAGAAACTGCCAGCAGCCTAAATTCAGATACTTCTTCCCCCAAAGCACGTAAGTAACCAAGGATTCCATAAAAAGGAAAACCTTTTGTATTTACCGAGTTTAATTCTTTCCAAGACTTGGACAGGAAGTACGGTCTGAAAGTAGAATCTAGGAACTACTTTGTTTGGCCAACACACTACATGGATATGTGCTTCATGGGGTATAACTCCCTTTTGAAATCAACATCGATTCTGAAGCCTCCTGGTGGTAGATGAGTGTCTCATCTGCAATTATGACATAGGGGAGGTTATTCCTCGACTTATGACTGCAACTGAGTCCGGAATTTCCGTTGCTAAGCAAGACAGCTGTTCAATGTGCTGCTCCCCATTTTACAACTTTTCTTTTTGCTAAATCACTATAGTCATTAAGTGGATCGTGTGGTTGTTAAGTAAATATGGCTTCCTCCATTGACTTGAAGGTTGTAAAGGGTGACCTCATGACCGCAGGACAGTGCAGCCCTCATAAATGCATGCCGGTGGTCGAGCACCTGAATTTATGGGGGTGCAAGGTGAGAGAGAAAGCGGGTGGGAAGCAATGACTTCCAACATTTTTAAAAAACCTTTAGAATTTTCAGTCAGCATAATCTTCAGATTAGGAATTCTGGAAGACGTAACACCCCCCCCCCCCTCAACTTTGAAGAATAATAGGCCGGAGAAGGTTAAGAAGCTTGTGATCTAAGACACCTCTGCAGTTTTTAATTTGTGTAGCACCCCAGTTCAAGCATGCATGAAACCAAATTAGATTCTGGTTATAGGGCTAGATGTCTTGACGGAGGAGGAGCTGAATGTAGCTTTGCCCGGCATACAAATCGCTCAAATGAATAAGATATTCATCTTCACAGACTCTTAAGGAGCATATTATTTATTTATGTATGTATTTAAATTTAAATGCTTGCAGGACTGAGCATGCAAGAACTTAGCTTAGACTGCCAGAATGAGATGTGGCATTCCTCATCAACTTGTGAAGATGGGCAAATAGTGGCAAAGTCTTGAGCATTTTGCAATAACTTTTCTGAATTTAAAAAAAAAAAATCCAGTTGCTTCTTTTTTTTTAAAAAAAAGAAAAAACGGACATGGATAATTTCTGCTATGCTAGGGTTGGGATGATGTGTTTGGAAAAGTCAGAAGCTGCGTAAGCTGAATCGTTACATCATAAATGTTTGGGAAGTTAGGTTATCATGTTTTCTTTCCCTGATGTTGTTTGGTGAGCAAAAGAAGGAGTTGAACTGTTTCTTTGTTGCTGCTGTTTTGTTTCAACCATGAAGTTTAGTTTAAATTCAGATTACAGTTCTTATATCAGAGGTCTCCAAACGTGGCAACTTTTAAGACTTGGAGAATTTAAGGCTGGAGAATTCTGGGAGTTGAAGTCCACAAGTCTTAAAGTTGCCAAATTTGGGGACCCCTGTCTTATATGGTTCTTGCCTTCAGTGGAAAATTCAGTGGTGCTGAATCAGACGGTCTGGGAGTCAGGGTTACCAAAATTGGAGATAACAAGGCCACATGAAACCCGGGCTCTTCCTCTTCCCCTCTAAACAGATATAATTGCATAATTACTGTTTTTTCCAAAGCTTGCATCTAGAGAAACAAAAGATAACTGTGCACTGTTTTTAAAATAAATTATGCAAACAGACCTTGTAGGGTTGAGTTTGCCACTCTGTTCTATTCTTCCTTCACTCTCTTTTAAACATTCTCCTTTCTTTCTATCTAGCCAGCATTCATCAACCCCTAGATATCCTGTGATAAAATATAGTCTGGATTCCCAGGAGTGAATTCCAGAGGAGAAAGAGACAACTTCAGATCAGATACAGCCGTGGTGGTGCAATAGTTAGAGTGCAGTACTGAGGGTTAATTCTACCAATTGCCTGCAGTTTCAACAGTTTAGTTCTCAAGGTTGACTCAGCCTTCCATCCTTCCGAGGTTGGTAAAATGAGGACCCAGATTGTTGGGAGCAAAATGCTGACTCTGTAAACCGCTTAGAGAGGGCTGTGTAAAGCACTGTGAAGCGGTATATAAATCTTAACTGCTATTGTGTAAGAGAAAGAGGGTGAAGACCATGCCTCTGTAACAGTTCTCAGACTATATGCTTTTTGCTGATGGAGTCTGTTTTACTTTGGCAAGATTCTGTCTCTAGGCAAATAAAGAAATTTGCTTGGAAGAATCCTGATGTGTCTTACTTGGCATTTGGAGCCTGACAAATCCTCTCTGAATTGGTTTTCTTCTTTCCCCTTCATGTTTATTTAGTGGTGTGTTGATACATTTACCAATCTTGACATTTCTTAAGGTGACAGGGCTTCTCTCCCCTCCCACCCCACGGCCTGCATGTAGTTGGTGCTATTGTGGCAACATAAGCAATGGCGCCCAACTTCCCAACACTGGAAACAGTATGTGCCTCTTCTTAGTCTGCTTCAGTACAGGTCACCCTTAGGAGGAACTTCTGTCACACTTCCTGATAAAATTCATGACATGAGACCCGCATCTCATACAGTATATCACAGAAGTGAGTATACCCCCTCACATTTTGTAAATATTTAAGTAGATCTTTTCATGTGACAACACTGAAGAAATGACACTTGGCTACAGTGTAAATGTGCTGTCCCCTCAAAATAACACAACACACAGCCATGAATGTCTAAACTGCTGGCAACAAAAGTGAGTGCACCCCTAAGTGATAATGTCCAAATGGGGCCTAAAGTGTCAATATTTTGTGTGGCCACCATTATTTTCCAGCACTGCCTTAACCCTCTTAGGCATAGGGTTCACCAGAGTTTCACAGGTTGCCACTGGAGTCCTCTTCTACTGTTATCCAAGCTGTATACTCACTATTTTACATTGTGGCCAAGTGTCATTTCTCCAGTGTTTTCACATGAAAAGATATACTTAAATATTTACAAAATGTGAGGCCGTATACTCACTTCTGTGATATACTGTAGATATAAAACGAGGAGGGAACTGCATTTGTATTTTTCAGCTGGATTCCTCCCCACATTGACTCCCTGGAAAACGCTACAGATGCACACCGTGTGTACCAAAGGTGTGTGCCAATGCTGTTGACACCTGATTGGAATCCATCAAGGCCTTGTGAGCTCCTTGCCTTTGTCATCACGATTCCTGTATGAGTGTGATTCTTCAGAGGGAAGAGAGAGAGAGAGGATCAGCCCTCCACTTTCTCTTCAGCAGATTTCTCTGTGCCGTTCCAAGGACCCATTAAAACTTTTCAGCCTGGATTGCACAGCTTGCAAAACGAGGTCATGCCTTCTGAGTATTGTGTTTAAGTGTTACTCTTCTTGCAACTGTCTTGCGGCAAAAATCTATCTCCAGAAGCCCGCATGGTGCAAATTGCCTTAAATTAAATGGCCAGGCGGAGTAGTCTTAGGTAGGGAAAGCTAAAGTGACCTCCCATCTTCTACAGCAGGGATCCAAAGCCAATTGCAAATTGATCCCAAGCAATTTGTGCGCTGCCTCCTTCTCATCAGCGCTGCTGAATGCAGCTCGTCCTCAACTTACGACAATTGGGACCAGAATATCTGTTGCTAAGGAAAGGGGTTGGTTAAATGAGTCACGCCTGGTTTTGTGATCTTTTTGCCCCGGTTGTTAAATGAATCACTGCGGTTGTTAAGTGGATCATGCAGCTATTAAGCAACTCCATCTTCCTCCATGGTCTTTGCTTATCAGAAGCTGGCAGAAGGTCTCAGGTGGAGATCACATGAAATCAGGGCTCTGCAACTGTCATAAATACATGCCGGTTACCAAGGGCCCAAAGTTTGGTCATGTGACCGTTGGGATGCTGCGACGTTTGCAAGCGTGAGGACTGGTTGTAAGTCACTTTTTTCAGTGTTGTTGTAAGTTCAACTGGTCACCAAACAAGTGGCTGTAAGTCAAGGACCACCTGGGTATCATTCACTCTAGTTTAAAATGCTTGTCTGGATAACATAGATATAACGGAAAACAGGGTAACGGAGTTGACAGGGACCTTGGACCCTCTCCTCAAGCAGGAGACCTGCCATTCCAGACAAGTGGCTCTCCTTAAAAGCCTCCAGTGATGAGACACAACTTCTGGAGGCAAAAGCCCTTCCGCTGGTTAATTGCTCTCACAATTTCTCCTTAGTTCTAGGTTGGTTCTCCCCGTGATTAGTTTCCATACGCTGCTTCTTGTCCTGTCTTTAGAGTTTTGGAGAATAGGTTGACTCCCCCTTCTTTGTGGCGGCCCCTTAGTTACAGTGCTAGAACCCTGCTATCACAACACCCTAGTTCCGTGTTGGCGAACCTATGCCACGCGTGCCAGAAGTGGCATGCAGAACCATTTCCCCTGGCACTTGAGAGGTCACCCAGAAGAGCCCTACTGCTCATGTGCACACACTGCTGCCCGACAGCTGATTGTCAGGTATCTGACATGCATGCACAGGAGGTGGAGGGGGTGTTATGATATGTACAGAATAACCCTTGATTAACAAGAATATGCACATGGAAACGTTTATGGGAGTAGTTATGAATAATTATTCAGCCACACACAGATGTACTAAATTGAGTTAAAGTTTACTTTAAGAAATAGCACAGTCCAATAAACAGTCCAGGTCATATA